CTCCAGTATGTGCTCTTAGCTGTTTAGGGAGCTCACCACTATGACTAAAGCCTTTGCCACCATCTTCATGTTTATAAGGTTTCACTCCGGTATGAACTTGTAGACGTGTAGTGAGAGTTAATTTCTGATTAAAGGCTTTGCCACATTCTGTACATTTATAAATTTTCTCTCCAGTATGCACTCGCAAATGTGTAGTAAGATTGATCCTCTGAATCAATGAATGAATGTTTCTGAATGAATTTTCCTATGTTTACATAGATTGGATGAGGTACTAAAGAATTTCCTATGTATCTTACATTGGTTTTCTTTCTGTGAATTTTGAATAGTTTGCTGTTGTACAAGTTCTGAAGACTGATTAGAAGCTTTACCATATTCACTACATTTATAAGTCTTCTCTCCAGTATGAATACTCTGCACAGAACGAACTGACATCTGATAAAAGATATTTCTACATTTATTACTTTATAATCCCTGTGTGAAGATTCAGGTCCCTGATGTTTCATAAGGTTTGACTCTCCTTCAACCTTATACCCAGTTTCATTTCTTGAATACCTTCTCACTCCACCATAAAAACCCTTATAATTACTGGGCCTGGAACTCTTACTTAAGACCTGACTAATTTTATTACACTTGGAAAGCTGTTCTGTATTAGCAATATCATGATGTGTATTGAATAATGACGGCTGGACTACATCTCTTCAATTATCATCAACATTATACATCGTGGAATGGAGAGGAAATATCTTTTGCTAGAAGAATAATGACGTCCTGCTCACAGATCCCTCAAATTGAGTATATTGTGAGCTTTGCCCCTCACTTTTAAATTTCAGTGTTCAACTTTCTAACACCATACACAAAAATAAACTCAAAATGGATTAAAGATCTAAATGTAAGACCAGAAACTATAATCCTAGAGGAGAACATAGGCAAAACACTCTCCGACATAAATCACAGCAGGATCCTCTATGACCCACATCCCAGAATATTAGAAACAAAAGCAAAAATAAACAAATGGGACCTAATGAAACTTAAAAGCTTTTGCACAACAAAGGAAACTATAAGCAAGGTGAAGAGACAGCCCTCAGATTGGGAGAAAATAATAGCAAACGAAGCAACAGACAAAGGATTAATCTCAAAAATATACAAGCAACTCCTCCAGCTCAACTCCAGAAAAATAAATGACCCAATCAAAAAATGGGCCAAAGAACTGAACAGACATTTCTCCAAGGAAGACATACAGATGGCTAACAAACACATGAAAAGATGCTCAACATCACTCATTATCAGAGAAATGCAAATCAAAACCACAATGAGGTACCATTACACACCAGTCAGGATGGCTGCTATCCAAAAGTCTACAAGCAATAAATGCTGGAGAGGGTGTGGAGAGAAGGGAACCCTCTTACACTGTTGGTGGGAATGCAAATTAGTACAGCCACTATGGAAAACAGTGTGGAGATTTCTTAAAAAGCTGGAAATAGAACTGCCATATGACCCAGCAATCCCACTTCTGGGCATACACACCAAGGAAACCAGATCTGAAAGAGACACGTGCACCCCAATGTTCATCGCAGCACTGTTTATAATAGCCAGGACATGGAAGCAACCTAGATGCCCATCAGCAGACGAATGGATGAGGAAGCTGTGGTACATATACACCATGGAATATTACTCAGCCATTAAAAAGAATTCATTTGAATCAGTTCTAATGAGATGGATGAAACTGGAGCCCATTATACAGAGCGAAGTAAGCCAGAAAGATAAAGACCATTACAGTATACTAACACATATATATGGAATTTAGAAAGATGGTAACGATAACCCTATATGCAAAACAGAAAAAGAGACTCCGATGTATAGAACAGACTTGTGGACTCTGGGAGAAGGCGAGGGTGGGATGTTTCAAGAGAACAGCATCGAAACACGTATATTATCTAGGGTGAAACAGATCACCAGCCCAGGTTGGGTGCATGAGACAAGTGCTCGGGCCTGGTGCACTGGGAAGACCCAGAGGGTTCGGGTGGAGAGGGAGGTGGGAGGGGGGACCGGGATGGGGAATACATGTAAATCCATGGCTAATTCATTTCATGTATGACAAAAACCACTGCAATGATGTAAAGTAATTAGCCTCCAACTAATAAAAATAAATGGAAAATAAATAAATAAATAAATAAATTTCAGTGTTCAGACATGCGTGAATATATGCATAAATGAAGTCTACATTCAGAATTGTTTGAATGAGTATTTGCAGTGGAGACTAAATCATGTTCCAAATGTATCATGTTTCCTTCCAGAGGACATGTGTGTTTCAAAAGGTGATGTAAAACTTTTTTTAAAAACTTACACTTCTCAGCAGATGTTTAAGACTGAAATTGGTGTTTCTCCCAGTTTGAATCATGTTGCTCATTTTATTTATTTATTTATTTATTTTTGCAGTAATGTTTGCCTTATGTGTAACTGTCTCAATTTCTTTATGTCCATATAAACATTTTCTCTTTCTTTCATATGCCCTCCTATGTTCCCAGTGTTTTCTGAAATTGAAGTTTCTGAGGTGGAATATTTCATATATTCCTAGGTTTGCTTTTGGAAACAAATCTTCTATCCTTGGTTTCTGTGGCATCAAATCCCAGGTGTATTGTGGAGACCTTGCTGGGTGTATGTCTCTTGTCTCCATTCTCCTTATACTCCTGGGGTCGTTCAATTCCTCCAGAAAGGTGACCAGGTCCGGCTTAGAGGCTACAAGACCCAAAGAGGCCAGGTTCCTGTAGCTCTCTAACATCACTTCCCTGTACAAGTCCCGCTGACTGAGGTCCAGGCATTCCCACTCCTCTTGAGTGAAGTCTATGGCCACATCCTGGAAGGTCAGCCGTCCCTGAGAAGCTGCCATTTCCTCCTCTTGTGCCTCCTGCTGTGCGTCTTCTTTTGGGATACTAGGTCCCAAACTCGCAAACAGGCTGAGAAAATATCTTAAAAGGCATCCACACAGCTCTTTCACCTTCAACTGCTGCAGTGAAAAAGAACACAACGACTTCTTTCTCTCTCCCTTTTCTGAGCTCTTTTCTGGCTTCCTCTGTCTAGCCTGCGGATTAAACCAGTTTTGTCCAAAGTGTAGGAAATAAAGGAGAAGCTCAAGAAGATTGAGTCAAGGAAGAAAGGAGGGAAGAGGATATATATATATAAATTAAAAATAAAATATATGTGTATATATAAAAATATGCATTATAGGTATGACATATTATGTTAATGTATAATATATAAAAATATGCGTTATACATTTTACACAGTGTGTTAAATAGAAAAATTGCAAAACTGTCAAAAGAAAGGCAGACTGCCACGTGCAGCGCCTCATTTGGATGTGTCTGGAGTCTTGGAAGCTTGACTACCCTACGTTCTCCTACAAATGGACCTTGAGAGCTTGTTTGGAGGTTCTAGCAGGGGAGCGCAGCTACTCGTATACCCTTGACCGAAGACCGGTCCTCCTCTATCGGGGATGGTCGTCCTCTTCGACCGAGCGCGCAGCTTCGGGAGGGACGCACATGGAGCGGTGAGGGAGGAAGGGGACACCCGCCTAGCCAGCCAGATCAGCCGAATCAACCCTGGCGATCAATGGGGTGACAGATGTCGCAACCAGATCGCCCTCACATCCGAAAAACCAGGCTAGTGGGCGCAGTATATAAACTAGAAGAAATTCGGGTCTTTTTGCTTACGTCGACTTTTCTTTTTTTCGCTCTAAATGCCGGATCTCTAAAATACGTGTTAAACTAAAGCCCAAATCTAACTAATACTTAAAAATTACTCCCTCAAATTGCAAAAAATTCTATTAAAAGGGGCTCGATTTGGAGTTGTTTGCGTATTATCCAGCATGCCTTGCAGATGGGTGGAGCATGCTAAATATTGCCGTCTCTATTGGTGAAATATTCTGGAACCTCGCCCACCGAGGGCGTCTCGGACCGTCCAAGGGTCCCAGGCTGCAGACCGCTCGCTGGGCGCCTTTGTGCGGTTCTGGTCACTCCGAGTGGAGCCAGGTCTGTCTCCCTCTTGTCACTCCCGCCACCCCTTCCCCCTCTTCTTGTTCCTCCCGGCTCCGAGACTCACGCTGCTTCCCCATCCTGGAATCACACCCGCATTCATCCTATCCCTGTCTCCCTCCCGCGGCCCTGTCCCTATCGAGGCAGACAGGGACCCCTGGCTTGGGGCGGGGGGGTCTTGCTTGGTCGGCGTGCGTTAACCCGCCCTGTGCAGTCCAGAGCCCTGGGTGGGAGGCAGGCTCTGATGGTCCCCCAGCGCGGACTGAGCGGCCGCGCGGAACGCGGGGAGCCTGTCTCGGGTGACAAGCGGTGGCCTGGGCGCAACAAGGGCCTGGGGGCTTCTGTCCAAGCGGGGCAGGGGTGTGCAGGGACCGGGGCCACCTCCGCGGGCCTGCCCGCAGACGCACGTCTTGCAGACAATAGTAATAATCGACACCTCCTCCTCCTGTTGCTGTGAGGCTCGAATATGATGCATGTGAAAGTGAATTTTTGCAGAGGTTCCATGGGTGTGGACGTCTCCTCCGCGGTCCTTGGCGTCTGGCCTGTACAGGCCGAATTTGGGAAATCTCAGATTTTCAAGGTCAAAGTATATGATGCTCTGATTCTGTGAAGTTCTGTGCTGTTAGCCCAAATGTCTTTACAGGAAATAGCCCCCCGCTTCCCAAGATCCCGAATAATAAATCATAAAGCTGTGAAACAATTTGAAAGGCAAAGGTGGTGGTTGTTTTTTAAGGTTTTAAAATGGTGGTCTGTTTTTATCGATTGAGGGAAAACGCAGTTTAATGAAAACAACAACAAAAACCCCACAAAATCCCTCCTCCCCCAAACCCCACAGAACCCCCCAAACAGTTACGTGTGTCAGAACCCTGAATATTCAGTTAGCCCCTGAACACTGGACTGAGGACGCGAAATTGAGGCTGTTCTTTTGCAAGGAGTGCTGCGTTTGTATTTCAGAAAACCTGAAAGGCAGTGATGGCCACGAAACCCAAACTCCACTATCCCAACGGACGAGGCCGGATGGAATCCGTGCGATGGGTGTTAGCTGCTGCCGGAGTGGAGGTACCCTAGCTACACTGGTGTTTCTGCACAGATTCGTCCTATAACGTTGAGCTCTGTCCTCTCCCAGTAATATTACAGACCTGCTTCCGTGAGTCAGAAGAGTCCGCCCTCTCAAGAATTTTTCTTTTTCTAAAGGCAGTGTAGTTATGAAATTCTTTTTTACTTTCAGCCTTAATCATTTGCTTCTGATCTACCACCAGTAAATATTTACAATGAGGAAAACAGGAATGAACCTGCAATTTGTCAGTTACACCCAGAACTTTGTGACTATAAAATCTCTAGGTTTAGGTTTGTTTCCTATTGACTTTAGTGGCTTCAGGCTTGGAAGACCCTGAATGCCCATATGCTTTGGCCCACAGTCTTTTTGGTCTTGTTTTTGCTCTGTTCTTGGAGCTTCTTCTTGATGGAAACATAAAACAGGTATTAGTAGTCAGGATCTGGATACTAAGTGTCTGTGGTTGTTCCTGGGGCCATTTGTGGAAGTAACTGCTTGTAGAATGCCCCTCATTCTGAATTTGGTGGACTTCCTCTCATTTTAACCTGTTCCCCTCTTCTCTGTTTCCTGTAAACTACTAATTGGATCCAGAAGTCTGATCAAATCCAGGCTCCTTTTTCTCCTTCTCTCTCTTTTTTTTTTTTCCCTGCCAGACTGCAGCAAAGGTGGGAGTGTGAAGATATTTCTCTTATGCCACATCACAGGCACATGACGTCTGCCTGTCTCGTTTTCAGCGTTGCTGAGTTTGATCAGTGTGTTTCCGTGACATCAGCCTGTTCCCACAGTATGAAGTTTCCTCTGTTACCCTTTCAGCGACCGTCTTGCAGCCTTGATCATCACCATTGTTAGGGGTTACAAATGGTGATTTTTCTCTTTCTGTTATTTCACCTAAATTTAACTGTGATTCTCTTATAAAGAGTTCACTGGTTACGTACTTAATTACCTTGAAGCACTAATCAGTTCACATAAGAAAAGCAGGATAAATGCTTGATTCTTTCTCTCGATCAATTTTCAGAATGAGTCCATTATCCTACCAACCTCCAAAGGTGATAAATAAAGATTGTTGGGTTTGGGGTTTTGTTTTTTATTTGTTGGTTTGGTTAGGCTTTGGTTTCCTTGCCTGTCATTATATCTCACCACACAGCGTTTTACAGTTTTCTAAGTTAGTTGATACCATTTTTATATATGGATTCTGATTTCTGACTTCTCTTGAGAAGTTGGAAGATCTAATGCTTCTAGGGCCTCACTTTCATAGGACAGCCATTGCTGACTCTAAGAGGGACAGCCCCTACAGATGGACCTTTCTAGTTTATGTAGTCTCCACCACTCCCTATTATCTCAGAACACTTTCTTTGTGTTAAGAAGAGAGTGCAACAGTTCTTGATCCCTTGACTTGAGCCTGTTTGGCTTATTCACGTCACCTGTCTAACCCTGTTGTTTCTGAGCTTGCAGTTGTTGTCTTATATGTGTAGATATTGGAAGCCCTTGTCCAATCCCCTCCTCTCTAGCTTCCTTCTGTGCTTCCTACTCGGCTGTGGGTCAGGATTCTTGGTTACAGTCATAGCAACCCAAGCCTAAGTAAGATAAAAAGGAATATGAGTCTCATATGATTGACCTCCCCCGGACCAGGCAGGCAGGTAGGGTAGAGTGCTTAGCCCGGCGTGGGTCTCAAGTCCACTCCTCTGATCAGGTTCTCTAATCAGGAGAAAGACTGGCCTCCCTCATGAGGGCTGACCACACGGTTTACAGGAGCAATGCCCCAACGTTGGTACCGGGGATCCCTCCCATGTCTGTGGCCAAAGACATTTTCAGCCACATCTGTGTTCAGTCAGATCTGAAATAGTCAGGAGGGCCGGGCTACAACGGCTGGGTGAGTTCATGATTTCCAGGGTCACAATGTCAGGTAGAACCTGACGTGTAAAGCACTCACATCCCAGTAACAGGTGCCTCACACCTGCTGAGAGGCAGCCTGGCCTAATTCCAGGAGTCAGCATCTTCCGACTCATACTTGGTTTGAGTCCTCAGACCCTGCTGTGTGCTGAATGCTGCATCTTGGCTGCTTGGAACTTCATGTGCCCAAAGACCCCCCAAACCCAGTCAGATCCTCCTTGAGAAGAGGAGGAATGAACAGTGTCAAAGAGAAGACGTGAAGGCCACACCCTCTTCATTCAGGACTTCTGGGCAGTTCGCTCAGTAGAAGGGGGTGTGTGGAGAGGGAGGGAGTGCATGATGTGGATGCGGGCACTTCTCCCGAGGATCCCCTGGGGGACCAGCATCCGTCAGGGAACAGAGGCCGCTGATTGTGTGGACCGAGACCCCACCCTGTCTGTCCTTACAGCCCCGGGGCAGCCCCCAGACAGTCGCCAGCTCCTCCAAGCTCTGCCTCCTGCACTTTCTACCTTCCTCCGTCTCCTGCCCTCTCATCTCCTGTTGCGGTGCCCATTTTTTCTTCCAGACCAATAGTTTCACAAGGTTTGACACAAGAGAGTTTCTCTAGTGAGAGAGCATGCATTTTGTTACATGTTCCCAGGAGTCAAAAACCAGAATTGGAACCATTTGGAAGGAATTAAAAAGATATTTTATTGAAGTATAGTTGATTTATATTATTTCAGGTATACAGCAAAGTGATTCAGTTATAAATATTTTTGAGATTCTTTTCCAGTATAGGTTATTACAAGATACTGAATGTAGTTCTCTGTGCTATACATTAGGTCCTTGTTGTTTATCTGTTTTATATATATTGGTGTATATCTGCTAATCCCAAACTCCTAATGTATCCATCCTATGTCCTCTTCCCCCATGCTGGTAACCATAAGTTTCTGTTCTATATCTATAAGTCTGTTTCTATTTTATAAATAGCTTCATTTGTGGCTTTTTTTTTTAAGATTTCACATATAAATGACATCATATGATATTTTTCTTTGACTTCATTTAGTAGGTTAATCTCTAGGTCCATCCATGTTGCTTGGAAAGGCTTGTTTTTTTTTTAATGTACATTCCTGGTCTCTCCCAGCTACCGGAGGTGTATCTCTGAGGGATGGGCCTAGGGTCTAGCACATACACACGCTTTCCCATGCGCTTTATACATGATCAGGGTCATAAAAGTGTGAGAGCAGTGGTGCAGTGGAAACACCTTGGCATCACAGCTGACTGGCTGGGTGTTTGAACAAATGCCCAGAACATTCTTACCCTGAAGCTACTGCTTCCTGGACCCCAGATGGAGTGCCTCTAGGGGCACTGAGGCCCTCTCCTCACACAGGAGGGCTGGGAATAGTAGAAGCCATGTCTACACCCCGTCATCTTGATGCCCCTCTGGTCCACTAGGTGAGGTAGAAGAAAGAATGGCCAGGTCTGTGCTGCTGGCTCTGTCCTTCCTGGGATGACATGGGGTGAGGGGCGGCGCAGGGCACAGACTGGACTGGGAACCACCCAGGGACTTGGGGCCTCGGTGGGCATGAGAAGGAAACCAGTGTATTCGAACGTGTTGTATATGTCACAAGAAAAGGGACTCTCCAGTATTTCTTTTCCTCCCAGACTTTTAGTTTGGAACCTTTAAAACCTATAGAAAAGTTGTAATAGTAAAATGGATACCTTTCAACTAAACTCACCAGGTGCTAACATTTTGCTGTTTGCCTCCTTCCTTCTTCTGTCTCTGCTTTTTTTTATTCTTAATCATTTGAAAGTAAGTTGCAGACATCAGCCTGTGTCTTCCTGTTAAGAAAAAAATAAAACTGTCCCCATAACTGTAATATCATTGTCACAACTAAGAAATTAACATCAGTTTTACAGCATCTTATATACAACCCATATTCAGAAGTTGCCGCTTGTCCCCCAGATGGCTATATAACTGTTAAATGTATCTCTTTAGGTGTTATAACTACCACTCCCCCCAAGATCTAATCAAGATTTAGACACTTGGTGGTTATGTCTCTAGTCTCGTTTCATCTAGAGCAGAATCTGCATTTTGTTCCTTTTTTTCATACTCTTCACTTAACAGAGAAGGAATGTGTGAAGGAGGAATTGAATCTCTTGCATGAATTTCTGCCAAGAGAAATAGTCAGTTATGTGACTTGGAGGCCAAATAGCCTAAAGAATTTTTAGAGGAGGTTTACCTGGCTACAGTCAAGTCACTTGTAAATAAAGATTTGCCCTTGAGAGCAGGGCTCTTGCTTTCAGTCGGGATGTCTAGGAAACGGGAGCCAGACAAGTGATGAGGCCCGCAGAGCGGGAGCCGCGGAGGCAGAAAGTGTGTCCCCCCAACTGGCTTCCAAACCTTGCCCATCCTGGAGGAGCTTAAAAACAAACAACAGTTCTGTAGGTTGGAAAGAGTCCAGACCATTTTATATTACCGAGTGTTGCACATTCTGGATATACCCCCTTTTCACCTTGCAGTTCCATCCAGGTTAAATTGGTTGGGATTCTGTTTCTGCAGTGTCGCTGTCCTCACTGTCACAGCAGGGAGCGTGAGATGCCTCAGGGTGGCCCCCCGTGGGGAACTGAGCTGCACCACTTGGTTAGGTGGATGGTGGGATTCCCACACCTGCAGAGACATTTTTTCTTTTTCATAATAAGTAACCTGTGGGATGATGCTTTGAATATTCTATGCCCAATGACCCAATGATTTCAGCATCTTGATCCTTATCAGAGTCAGTTATTACATTATAGGGTGAAAATTGGTGATTTTCTAATTTTATCATTAATTAGGAACAATTCTGCATTAATTAGTGCTAATTCTGGAAAAGAGAACTTTCTCCTTTTTTTTTTTTGAATCATCATTTATGGACACAGGGATTTTTTTGGTTGATGGTATTCTTCATCTATACCTGATATCACTTGAATTGTCCCAAATGTCACTAGGGAATCCCTCTTGGATAGGGTCCCACATGCCTTTTCCTTTGACATATCTCTGTTAGTCTTTGAGTACATCCTCACTTTTTGATATAACAGAGTCAACTTTTATTCCTGGGATCCCAGGGATATTTAGAAACCAAGATATGGGTACTGAGTATGTTCTTTCTGTCTGTTTTTCAGGCAGTTTAGCTTGGTATTTTTGGTCCGAAAACTGTAATGACATTTCCCTTCTTTTTTGGGGGGGTGTCTTTTTTAATTTAGTTTGATGAAGAATTTTTAGAAACAAAAGAACAGTTGCAGAAGTTGCAGGATGGTGAGTATAAAAATGTATTACTGTCCATAATGCTGATTTTTTAAAGAACCAATATTTAAGTGGAAGGACAAAGATGCAGCTGACACTAAACATCCAGAAGAGTATCCTAAAACCAGACAAGCAAGAGGGAACAGTGGCTGAAATTGCTAGAAGGTCACTTGATATTCAGTAGTTCTATAAAAACCAATCGAAGGGGGAGTAGTTCCTCCCTCTGTCCACTGGGCAGCCCTTCTCCATCTCTCTCCTCCCCGGCCTTCCTCTACCTTTCCCCCTCTTTCTTCCACTCCCTCATCCCTTCCCTCCTCAATTTCCACCTCCTACATATTACCTGAGGCATCTGCTTGAAGTGTGCAGATTAAAGTCCCCATTTACACTGGGCTGCTTTCTCAAGTAAGTACCAAACACATGAGACAGCAGTGAAAGGCCTGCCTTTAACTCCTGGTCACACCCTCCCTCCACAACCAGAGCCCTGTAAGCAGCCTCCTTCCTTGCCATCAGCAGGGTCCTGAGGCCCAACTCAAGGATCCCTGGAGAGGGACCAGCTCTGCGGGGCTGTGATGTGTCCACCATGAGTGACCCTGCGCTGAGTACACATCTCCCCGCAACCCGCCTTGAGCCCCCCAGGACTGGCCTGTGTGCTATACTTGTGACTCTCCCTGGGGTTTGGTGTGGGTAAAGTGTTTGAGACAGTCTTCTTGAAGAAAGTAAGGGGTGACTTTTTGACCGGTGACTACGAACTTGGCAGTAGGTAGGCTGTGGCAGTGAAAGCCTGCACATTAGTATCAGCCAGTGTCTTGGGCTTCATCATCAAACTGACAAAGTGACGCAGTCATAGACATTCTACACGGATGGGTTGTTTTGTTCTACACTGGCCATTGCAGGAGCCATCAGCCATATGTGACTCCTGAGCACTTGTGTCCATGGGGACAAAGGAAGTGACTTCTAAATTTTTCAAAAGTTTTAGGACTTTGCTGGTGACTCAGTGGTTAAGACTCTGCACTTCCCATGGCTAATTCATTTCAATGTATGACAAAAACCACTGCAATGATGTAAAGTAATTAGCCTCCAACTAATAAAAATAAATGGAAAAAAAAAGACTGTGCACTTCCGCTGCAGCAGGGCTTGGGATCAATCCCCACTCAGGAAACTAAGATTCTGCATGCCCCATGGCACAGGCACAGCCCCCCCCCCCAAAAAAAAAGTTTAAAAAACTTTTGATTGATTTAGAGTTCCCTGGTGGCCTAGTGGCTAGGATTCTGGGCTTTTGCTGTTGTGGGCCCAGGTTCAATCCCTAGTCAGGGAACTAAGATCCTGCGAGCTTTCATACCTCAGCTACAAAAAAAATTTTAAAGTTCAGTTTAAATTTAGTGGCATATACATATGCCACTGCTGGCTACTGTATTGGCCAGCACAGCTCTGTAAAGAGATGTCTTCATTGTGTTACCCCTCACCCTTTACACTGAGGCTAAGTGTTTTTCCTGGGGTGGAAATTGAAAGTTTTATGTCCATGCTAGTTTTCAGTCTTATTTTATGGCTAAATTAGCACCCCTGAATGAAGTTGGGGGAGCTTTACACTATTTTCTAAGGCTGTGGCCCCATTCAGCAGAGCATTTTTTTGAGGGATGGGGGAAAGGGGAGAGAGCACGTCTAACTCTGGGCTCCCGTTCCCAGGTAACCACCTGCTGTTCCAACAAGTGCCAATGGTTGAAATTGATGGGATGAAACTTGTGCAGACCCGGAGCATCCTCCACTACATCGCAGACAAGCACCATCTCTTCGGCAAAGACCTCAAGGAGAGAACCCTGTACTGTGGCTCCTCTGGGGTGTTCTCAATTGTACCTCTACCGATGCTTAGCTTAGTAGCCATCTTCCACAGCCCCCTGGTCCACCACATGTCCTGTATCGTTAGCGCGAACAGGGAACAGACCTCCAGAAAGGTCATCAAGACCACTTAGAAAATCAATACGGAGAGTCTGAGTAAAATGAGAGGAAAGGATTGAATTTGGATATTAGAGACTGTGTCTGGAGCATGGTGCAGGTTTCAACATCCTTCAATGCTTTGATATTATTTTTTTTATCGTGCTTGCAAATCTATTATCACTTGAGTATTAGGAATCGGAAGCTGCTGTGACATTCAAGGCCCAGAGTACTATGTGCTGGCTTATAATTTGAACTCAGAGCCTGGTCTTTGTACCTCCTGAATTATGCCCCTGGGCAAAGTGTTAGGCTCCAGTGTCCTGATGAGTTTCCAGTGTGATGGGGATACTAATAGTATATTCCTCATAATGCTGTAGGATTCAATGAAATATTAGATGTAGGGTATTTAGCACCATTCCTCATACACACCAAGTATTTTGTAAGTGGTAGCCACTATTTTTACAAATGTGAAGTTGTACCCATACTGAGCATGGGTGCTGGAGAAGGGCCAGGAGAAAGGCCATCATGACTCTGGTACTTCGAGATTTGTGATGGGTTTCTCTGAAAAAGTTTTCTAGTTTATAACTAGAGTTGACTTTGCATCTTTGCTGTTAAGGGACACATGGAGATGAATGCTTCTTGATACTTAAGTAGCCCGAGTTGTAAGAGAAAAGCACCCTGGATATTTAGTTATGGGAGCCAATGAGGGGCCACTGAGAAAATGCTTTTTGTGTGTTTTTTGAAGGATTGACATGTATGTGGAGGGGACCCTGGATCTTCTGGAACTGCTTATCTTGCATCCTTTCCTCAAACCAGACGATCAGCAAAAGGAAGTGGCTAACATGGCCCAGAAGGCTATAATTAGATACTTTCCTGTGTTCGAAAAGGTATGTGGCAGTGAAGCCTGTGAACACGGCAACAGCATACTGCAAAATGCCGCTTTTCTGCTCAGGCAGAGTAAAAGCTGAGCCCTGCTAGGCCAGCCTCCTCGGTTCCGGAGAGCTGCCAGTTGCATCAGCACAAAGCCAGTGTATCTTGGAGCCTCCCTAACTCTTCCAGAGTCTTCCATGCTCTCTGGCAAAGATATGGGCTCACCCATGTGTGCATTGTCATTGCTTACCTTCACCAGGTGCCACCCTGTACAGGATACAGAAGAGCAGAAACCACCTCCTTCATTCCTTCTTTCGTTCCACAAACATTTGTGTATCAGACATCCTACTTGATAGTTGGATATGAAGAGAAGAACCATGGCTGTTTTCTCTTCCCTTTTGTTCTCTTTTGTGATCTTTCTTGTCTCATTACGGTATCTGGTTTTCTGAGCTTCAGCTCCTCCTCTCTTTTCCTCAGTGGAGAATTATTTTAAATGCCTCAGTTAAAAACCAAGAGCAAGTAAAAGCCGGGAATTGGCAGGTTTCCTCTGGCCATTGACGTGGAAGTAGATAAGAAGGAAGAGAGGTACTTTCTGAGTGTTTCTGTCCTTGCTTTCATGATGATGCAGAAATGGGCTATGGTGAGGGAGGAACAGGTGTCTCAGATAAAGGTCACTGCCAGCTTTTGTCTCCCTGTGATTCAGATTACGTCAGAACTCCGCCAAACATACAAGCTAAAAGTCATTACTTTCTTATTTACTTAGTTATTTATGGCTGCACTGGGAATTTGTGGCTGCACACCGACTTTCTCGGGTTGCGGTGAATGAGGGCTACTCTCTAGCTGTGGCGCGTGGGCTTATCATCATGGTGGTTTCTCCCGTTGCCGAGCAGGGGCTCTAGGGTGCGTGGGCTTCAGTAGTTGAGACAGGAGGGCTTAGTTGCTCCGCAGCATGTGGAAATTTCCCGGACCAGGGATCAAACTCGTGTCCCCTTCATTGACAGGCAGATTCTTACCCACTGGACCACCGGTCCTGTTACCTTCTTTTTACATGTAATGAAATAGAACCACAGAGAGACTGGGTGACATGCCTAAGGTGGGAGCCAAGACTGGAACTCTGGCCTCTGATGCAGCTCCAGACTCTCTGTCTTTCTCCCAGTCTGGTTCCAGTTGCTCTGTTTGATTTGGAATCATGTTAGAGTCCCTCTCTGTCTCTCACACACACACCCATGCACGCACATACACATATCTGCAAAGGGGTTCTCTCCCGGTTTACCCCTGTGCCTTGGTTCTTTCCAATCACCATCTATTCCTATGGATCTCTGCACCTATATGTTACTCTCAATATGGGAGTCAGGATGAATTCTCATTGTTTTAATTTTCTTGGTCTTGAAAGTGGAGTGAAAGTGTTAGTTGCTCTGTCATGTCTGACTCTTTGCAACTCCACGGACTGTAGCCTCTGTCCCTAGGATTCTCCAGGCAAGGATACTGGAGTAGGCAGCCATTCCCTTCTCCAGGGGATCTTAGAAAATGTTACAGGAAGCCTGCTTTTTTTTTTTTTTACTGTCATGTCTAGTTTATGACTGTGAGTCTTGACAGTCGTAGAAACACAGAACTGGGAAATGAAATTAGACTCCTTGGACAGGACCAATGGCTTACTTCTAACATCCTTCCCACCATCTTCTGAATGCATCAGGACTAATTCTTCTCTGTAGACACGTTTCTGGATAGCTGTATCCTTTTAAAGCACCAGATACTAAATCCAGAATTAATACTTCCTTCTGCTTTTCAGAGTCTCATTCTGCTATAAAGCAGAGACCTATGGATGCTGTCATTTCTACACTGTTTTTGCTCATTCTTTCTCAGGGAACTTCCTCTTAGTTGATGTTATTTGTAAAAAGATAAAAGAAAAAGGCCATGGTTTCAGCTCTTCTCAGATGCTGCACTGATTCCATAGCTATATTAGTTTCTCCATGTCGAGTATTATAACCGATGTAAAACATTTATACCCTGCAGGTTTTACAGGGTCATGGACAAAGGTTTCTTGTTGGTAATCAGCTGAGTCTTGCAGATATAATTCTACTCCAGACCATTTTGGCTCTAGAAGAGAAAATTCCTAATATCCTGTCTGCCTTCCCTCACCTCCAGGTAAACAAACTAATGTTATAGGAGATTGGCCCACAACTCTTAGGCCTTCCTTCAGTGTCTGTTGATTGATTGGCTCTATGTTTGTATGTGTGTGTGTGTGTAATTTGTTTGGTTCTCATTATGGTGGCAGTGTTGTACTGTCTCTAAGTTGTGTCCAACTGCTTTGTGACCCCATAAACTGTACCCCACCAGGGTCCTCTGTCCATGGGATTTCCCAGGCAAGAATACTGGAGTGGATTGCCATTTCCTTTCCTTCTCCAGGGGATCTTCCAGATCCAGGGATCAAACCTGCTTCTCTTGCACTGGCAGGCAGGTTCTTTACCACTGAGCCATCGGGGAACCTAGATTCTAGTTACTAAAATGAAACTAAAGTACAAACTTGAAATTGGTTTTCTGGTTCCCAGGCCCTTAGAGCTGAGCAATTGTTTACACATGAAAGAAGTTGTCTCTTGGTTTTGCTGCCTGACTATACTCTTGGAACAAATTCCATACTAGAGTTTTTGTTAACATTAGTGACATATGTATGAATGCTTCTGTATAATGTTTGTACACATGCTTAATTAAGGCTGTGCTTGGTACACAGGAGACATTTGGTAAATAGTAGCTTTTTAAATAAATGACCTCTTTATTTTGAAAGATTTTGTTAGAATAATTATAGACAATGGATGTTCAGTTCCCATATAATTTAGAATTTTCACCAGATCAAATGGATTTTTCCTCCCAATTACTGAAAATTGTTAAGATTTGACTCTGTGAATGAAAAATGAGATTTTTTTTCTTCCATTGCAGTTTACATGAATATCTGGTGTCTGAACCCTAGGCTGCAAAAATGCAACTGGCCATTTCCCACACATAGCTGGAAAGAGAATTCATTTGTTAATACGTGTAAAAATGTCCAAGGAAGCTGAACCTTAAAATGTAACTTGTACTGTCTGATGAAGTTTAAAAGTAATTTTATTTAAACTTTTTCCTTAGAGCAATACATTTGAGGTACTTCTCGTGTCTTTTTTGTCCTTCTTCTTTTTCTCTTTAAACAAGTATAATCCCATTCTAAGTATCTTTTTTATTTTGCTGTCTCTAAAAAGAGTTGACATCGTGGTGTGGATTTGCATAAAGCCTGGGATCTGGTCTAGATCCCAGCCACTGTGGGAGAGATTTTAAATGATCATACCAACAGATCAGCCCCTCAACAGATGTTGGATTATGGGTCTGTTTGGACCCCTGAAACAAATATTTTTTGCAGACATTTTGATGGGCCATTTTGCAGCACTGTATTCTCATAGAATGGCTCAGCTGGCAAAGAATCTACCTACACTGTGGGAGACCTGGGTTTGGTACTTGGGTTAGGAAGATACCCTGGAGAAGGGAACAGCTACCCACTCCAGTATCCTGGCCTGGAGAATTCCATGGACTTTATAGTCCACGGGGTCGCAAAGAGTCAAACATGACTGAGAAACTTTCAAGCTCAAGTTCAATTTTCATAGAAACAAATACCTTTGCTTTTAGCCTTGAACTTTTGCATTTTCTCTTTTCAGGAGTACACAGTGAAGATCAGTAATATCCCTACAATTAAGAAGTTCCTTGAACCTGGCAGCAAGAAGAAACCTCCCCCTGATGACATCTACGTGAGAACCGTGTACACCGTCTTCATGCCGTAGGACTGCAGTACAGCTGTGAGTGACCACCGCCCCTGGAGATTGCTGTGTCCACAGTAGTGTCTTAATTGAAGCCAGGCTGCCGTGATCCAGCTCTGTCGTGGTGCTGTGTATATTGTTCCTACGTTGGTCTTTCATGTCCTGATGTCTCTTTGAGAAACATCGACCTTTTTTTTTTGTCCAGTGAGTGATTGTTACAGGACCTTTTCTGAAAAAATTCTGGAGAGGTCAGCCTTTAAGTTATATCTGCTCTGTCTCTTCATTTCCTGGTAACAAGGATGGGTAGGACCTTGTATCGTCTGTCCCCTGAGCTTTTGTCCTCTCCTTATCCCATTCTCAACCCCCTCCAGTCTCTTCCTGTTTTTAGTGTCTAATAACAATGAAGTTTACTAAATAGCGAGTAACTCTCCTCTGAGCTATAATAGATTCGTGGTAGTGATGAATGCCTTTGATATTCACTAAAATAAAGGATTTACAAATTATTGCCCTGCTGCTAGAATTTTTAAGTTAAATTGTTTGGAATATATAATGCATCCACATGGCTCAAAAATCAAAAATATACAAAATGCTATACAGGGACTTCCCTGGTGGCCCAGTGGTTAAGAATCTGCCTACCAATGCAGGGGACACAGGTTTGATCCCTGGTCCCGGACCTAAAATCCCACATGCCATGGAGCAGCTAAGCCCACATGCTGTAGAGCCTGTGCTCCACAACAAGAGAAGCCACGTCAGTGAGAAGCTCACACACCGCAACTAGAGAGTAGCCCCTGCTTGCTGCAACTAGAGAAATCCCATGTGCAGCAACAAAGACTCAGTACAGCCAAAAATAAATAAACTTATATTGTTGGAAGTGTTTTCAGCCCTGCCTCCCAGTTCTTTTCAGTTCTGCTCCCTGCAGGCAAACATCATTATCATTTGTATATCCTTCCAGTTATATTTGACATAAGTGTAAGAAAATATGAATATATCTAACTTTTATCCTGTTACTACCAAAATGGTTATTTAGAGGCTTCTAGTTTTTTTGCACTTCAGAACTAAAAGTATGATTTATTAGTACTGCTTTAAACATGTGTTGACTTGCATCTTAAATATTAATTGAGCTCCTATTATGTGCCAGGCAGGGTGCCAGGAGGCAGAATCCTAAAACAGAGGCTTGCTTTAGAAAAAAGTCACCACACAGTAGGCAAGATAGATGCTTCAATAGCGGAAGTAATTTTAGAAAAGAAAAAGTTGCCACTCGAAAGTAGCTAATAGTTGGGGATTTAAAAACTGGAGAAAGGCAACTATTTGATCCACGTCTCATAAAGAAAACACACCCATTTCTTACTGCAAGAGGGATTTCTGCCCAGATGTAAAAAAAACAGTAACGAGGTGACCCTTCATGCCTGTCACAATCAATGCAAGCTTCTTGGAGTTTTATTAGAGGAAAATCCAACACAGATGTGAAGATGGTTTTCTGCCTTCACGTTTTCACAATTTGAACACTGTCATCACTCAGATGCTTAGAAATGCTGAAGGAGCAAGGCTGGCAGCAGGTGTATCACCAGGCAGGCCCGGGGAGCATTGGTGTCCACGCTGATGCTCCCACCAGCCTCCTGGGAGCAAAGGAACAAAAAGAAGAAGCTGAAAGGGGGTGGGGGTGGGGGTGCGGAAAGAATCAGCTTCCCCACATACAGGTCCGGCCTTGGCTTCAGGAAGCTGATCTCTAAGCCTTGGGATCTCTCTGACCATTTACTATTCGGAGACATGCCTAATTGGAGTAAATTGTTTGCCAGGGGCCCTGGGCCAGGTAGGTAACAACGGCTATATGATTTCAGGCATAGGCTTTGAGCCACAGCAACCATGTGATGTAGGGCAGGGCTCTGGGTCATGTGGTGTCAGCCCCACTCCGGAGGGGGCTGGAGACATCAGTCACGTGGGTGGTCAGTCATGGCCACGTGATGGAGCTCCAGTAAAACCCTGGACTTCCGGTTCTGCAGAATGAGGACATCTGGACACTCCGAGCCTGGAACTGTCCTGGATTCAGTCCTGTGCATCTCTTCCCTTGACTGATTTCCATCTGTGTCCTCTCCCTGTAGTAAACCATTGCTGTGAGTATGACCATTTTCTGTGAGTTCTGTGAGTCCTTCCAGCAGACTGTTTGGGCATGGGGCCACTTGGGGGACACTCCGTGGGCTTCCCAGGTGGCGCTAGTGGTAAAGAACCTACCTGCCAGTGCAGGAGAAGTAAGAGACGTGGGTGTGATCAGGAAGATCCCCTGGAGTAGGAAATGGCAACTCACTCCAGTATTCTTGCCTGGAGAATTCCATGGACAGGGGCCTGGCAGGCTACAGTCCATGGGGTCACAAGAGTCGGACACAACTGAACAATTAAACCAACACCACTGTGAACCTGCAGTTGGTGTCAGCAAGGGCGGTCTTGGATTGCTCCCTTCCAGTGCTTCAGTGAGGGCAAACACATTACCCTCACTTGGAGATTAATTTACACATGGGAGCAGACACTAACTTGGTTACAACTAGGGATCTCTGTTGTCAAGTTGTGTTGGACAGCAGGAAATGGGAGCTGTTATATGACTGGGTGGGATTTCAATACCCAGGGCCATTGCCTGATGATATTATTCGGGCAGACCAGAAGCCATTGTGCAAATTGTGCTTTGGAGGTTTTAATTCTCTCAGACACAAGGGGGCCCTCAAAGCCGGCTCTTGGAGAAGACAACCTGTAAGGAAGTTGGGTCTGCCCTGAATTGGAGGATTAACAAAAATAAATACAAAGGCCAAGTTGCCTCCAGTGAAGACAGGTTCCCACACCGCTGTGCTCAGGGTTACACAACCTTAAATCATTCATCTCACTTTCCATGTTGGAAATAAGCTCCCCCTACCCCATCCTGCACAGGTGCAGTTTCCTGGCCTTGTCACAACCTTTTTTGGGGGTCCAGACCTTTTAGTCTCAACGCCTCCACCATTCCATCTTCACAAGCCACCAGACTCTGGTAAAAGAGCCAGGAGGTCAGGCAGAGGATGGTTGTCCTCAAAGATGTCAGCATGCTGTGTTCAGGAAGGAATGTGACGTGTGAGGCCGGGAGACAGGACAGAGGGGACCCATGAGGCTCATGGGCTAGGCCCCATAGCAGCTGAGCCAATGGGGTGAAAGGGCACCCCACGGATAAACGGGGCAGTTGTGGGGCTCCAGTGTCCTCTGGGACGAAAGCAGGGAGCTGAACGGTGTGGGGTTCTGGGGTCTGTCGGAGGAGGAGATGCAGCACCTAATGAGCTCAGGACCCAACATAAGCTGCTTAGAGGGGCTTTGGCAGACTGGGTGCCCAAAGGAACACCTGACACCCAGTCCTGAGGAGGGCGGGTATGGAAGGGCCTGTGGACAGAACAGCAGAAGGTGAATTCCAGGGGGCAGGGTCTGCAGCAAACGGCCACCAGCCCAGGCTCGCATACTTGCTGGTATTCCCTCTTTGTTGTATGTGCATTTTATTCCTTTAACCCAAATTGTCTGCCCAGAAGATTCCGTGGCGGGCTCCTTGTCCCATCAGCTTCAACATTCCCACTAAGGGAATCTTCTGATCATGAACTCTGTGGCCCAACCTCACACCCTGCGTTTCTTTTTCATCATCCTATTTTATTTTCTTCAAAGCACTTGACACCCACTGTCAATTTCTCTGTTTAATCAATCTGTGTCTTTAAAGTGGGTTTCTTGCAGAAAACCAAAAATAGGGTTTGTTTTAAAATCCACTTGTGAATGTTTACAGCATTTTTTTTTTTTACAACATTTATATGGAGCTCTGTTCTGAATCATGGTCACAGGTGTAAAGCCTTATGTGGACGTCACAGAGGTGGAGCCCTGCACTGAGGTCATCTCCGAACTGACCAAGTCCCACAGTAACCATTGCTGTGAGCCTCCCTGATCTAAACTGGCCAGCTCCCTGACCCCATTTTAGGAAAAAATACTCACCCAATTACCCACCCTATAGCACCCTAACTAATCACCTAATGCCACCCTTCCAGCAGGAATTTTCTTTTGTCTTGAGACTATAAAAATTGGCTACTAATCCATGAAAGGAGTCAGCTGTTCCTTGAACCAGCCCACTGTTCTAACAGTGTCTCCTGCTTTAATAAACTCTATACTCCTCTCATTCTGCCTTGTGTCTGGAGATTCTTTTCCAACTTGTGCATAGACCACGACAATTCACATTTAAAGTGATTATTGATGTGGTTGCATTCATGTCTACTCTTTTCTTTTTTGTGTGACTCTTCTCTATTTTGCCTTGGTTCTTCGCCCCCCCACCCCCCGCCCACTGTTTTTGCTTCATCTTCTACGCTTTTTCTGACCTCCATGTTTTAATTGAGCGTTATTTAATTCCATTTTTTCTCCTTTCTTAGCATGTCAATTATAGTTTGTATTTTTCTGGCCTTAGTGGTAGTTCTGAAGTTTGTAATTTATATACAACAACACTCAGGCCGCTTCCAACAACACTATATCACTTCACAGGTGATGCAGGTCCCTTATCAGTTCTGTTCAGTTGCTCAGTCATGTCAGACTGTCGGGGTCCAGCCTCGGCAGGATCTAGGGGGTACCCTCAGGATGAACGGCGTCGGCGAGAGAGAGAAGACACATGAGACTAGCCTTGATAGGGCCAAGTCTGCGAGGGGGAGAGAGAGAGAGAGAGAGTGACCAGACGGGGGTGTGCAGCTGGCAGAGTCTGGCAATGCTTTATTGTTTACCGTCGCTTTTGTACCCTAAATTAGTACGTTTCTAAGGGGAAGATAGTTTAACATTACATCAGCTTGTTCTTCACGAAACCAGGGTGTTTTCTGCATATTTCTTTGTTTATGAGGGTCTTGTACATTATCTTCTGGCCTTGGGGCCTGTTAACATTTTATGCAAGTCAGGTGAATGTAAACCTATTTTCTGTTTCTCTGGTGACCTTAACTGAAAGGTAGCAGTCTCATAGGGCAACAGTACAGAGTAGAAGTATAACCTTGTTAACACAAAAA